GAGCAGTCGAACTTCCGCGGTTATTTTGCAGAATCGGTTGCAGCGGTGTGAGGAAGGTACAGTTTGCTATTTTTACGTAGAAGATCATTTTGGTATATTTTCACGTTTTTCGCGTTTTACACGTTGTATGTTTTTCTAGAAAAGGATAAATTTTATTTAGCGAAAAAGAAGAAAAGCGGATGAAAATTGATTTACTCTTGTACTGAAGCTATGGAACCAACAAAGTGGGACAGTTTATTTAGAATAAAATAAAATTATAAGAATAATTTAGTAATTATGGCGAAAAGGTTAAACAGACGAATGACATAAATTATAAAGTTACTATATTAAATATTATTATATATGTATATTATACAGTATAAATCCAAATTATCTGAACAATAAATTTGGTCAGTGGCACATATTAATAAAAGATCCTTTATAACATAGTTATGGACAGAGATAACGAATAAATGATACCAAAAATAACGAAAAATTAAAATCAACTCAGTCTTATCATTCTTCTACAGTCATTTCCGATACCCGGTAGATTAATTCATAAAGAACAACAGTCGCGTATAATTGAGATCTCAACACAAAATATTATTTTACTTCTATATATTATATATTTTGTTCATATATTTTATTCTTTCATATATAAATTATTATTTTATATATTTAGTATTTTCATATGTTTATTTTTTTATATTATATATTATATATTTACTTTCACGCGCGTACTTCGCTGCATACTTTTAGCAGCTAATTGAGCAGATAAATTAAAACGTGCCGCGCTTGTACGTAATATTTCCTCCGGCAGCAGCCTTCGTCGACAAGTAAAAATCAATAATTTCGAAGCATACGGAAAGCACCGATTAAGAACCGAAACGTTGAAGCCCCTTTTCGGAGGTCGAACGATATTTTATAGGAAGATATCTCGCGTGCCCCGGTCGGATGAGCCCGCGACCTTCCAAGGGGTTAAACCGCTCGACTATTTCGACTCTGCACTCGACCTATTTTTCACTCCCCGGCAACCGTTTCAATTTTCCCCCGAGTAAGTACATCAGCGCTTTCACCTAATTATACGCCGCGTGCATCAAACGGTATCCGTTCGCGAGTAAGACAAAGAAACGGTATCGCGAAGGATATTAGCAGAGACCGGGGCAGGTTGCAACGCGGTGATAAATTATAACAAAGTTGAAATTTTCTGGCTGGCAAATATTGCGATATGTAGAACGAAACTCGACGAAACGCCACCAGCGTCGATGTTAACCTTTGCACTCGATGCCGTTTTAATTCCAAATCGAAAATAACTTCTCTGACCTACAGTGTTCGCCATTTTAGATGATTTAATGCACTTTGTGCGCAGGAAATTCTGTCTGTGACTCTACGACGGTCGCTCTTTTCACGATTTTTAAATACAAACAAATTGTACAACAATAACGACGTTTTTCACATTATATATATTTTATATTGAATATAATTATAATATATAATAGATAATAGATAATAATATATAATAATAAATAAAATATATATAATATAATTATTATATATATATATATATATATATATATATATANATTTAGTATTTTCATATGTTTATTTTTTTATATTATATATTATATATTTACTTTCACGCGCGTACTTCGCTGCATACTTTTAGCAGCTAATTGAGCAGATAAATTAAAACGTGCCGCGCTTGTACGTAATATTTCCTCCGGCAGCAGCCTTCGTCGACAAGTAAAAATCAATAATTTCGAAGCATACGGAAAGCACCGATTAAGAACCGAAACGTTGAAGCCCCTTTTCGGAGGTCGAACGATATTTTATAGGAAGATATCTCGCGTGCCCCGGTCGGATGAGCCCGCGACCTTCCAAGGGGTTAAACCGCTCGACTATTTCGACTCTGCACTCGACCTATTTTTCACTCCCCGGCAACCGTTTCAATTTTCCCCCGAGTAAGTACATCAGCGCTTTCACCTAATTATACGCCGCGTGCATCAAACGGTATCCGTTCGCGAGTAAGACAAAGAAACGGTATCGCGAAGGATATTAGCAGAGACCGGGGCAGGTTGCAACGCGGTGATAAATTATAACAAAGTTGAAATTTTCTGGCTGGCAAATATTGCGATATGTAGAACGAAACTCGACGAAACGCCACCAGCGTCGATGTTAACCTTTGCACTCGATGCCGTTTTAATTCCAAATCGAAAATAACTTCTCTGACCTACAGTGTTCGCCATTTTAGATGATTTAATGCACTTTGTGCGCAGGAAATTCTGTCTGTGACTCTACGACGGTCGCTCTTTTCACGATTTTTAAATACAAACAAATTGTACAACAATAACGACGTTTTTCACATTATATATATTTTATATTGAATATAATTATAATATATAATAGATAATAGATAATAATATATAATAATAAATAAAATATATATAATATAATTATTATATATATATATATATATATATATATATATATATATATATATATATATATATAATATATAATATAATATATAATATAAAATGTAATATAACATAATATATAATATAATGTATAATATAACATATAATACAATGTATAATATAATATACAATATAATATATAATATAATATAATATACAATGTAATACATAATATAATATATAATATGACATACAATATAATATCTAATTATTTAATATATTTTGTCACTTTTTTATCCTAAATGTGTGAAGCATGTGTAAGCTATGAGTAACGTTTCTGTTATAACCTGTCTCCTCTACGTATCCACGGTGGATAATGTTTGATCGCGTTGCGAGTACGGTACAAGGTGTTCCGACGAAGCGAATCAACCCTTAAAGTGCACTTGATAATATTTGCTCAGAACGGGAGCGCACGCGCACACACCCCCTCAAAGAAGCCCCCCGCCGCACGGCTGAAACGCTGCACGCTCAAATGATGAACGACGGCGAGAATGTTTGTGCCGTGACCGGTGTGTACAGTGTAACTACACGAAGGGGGTCGGAGGCCAATGTAAATCGAGCACCACGGCCAGATGTGCACCGATTTACACTGGCGACACTTTTCCATAATTGACTGCTTGTTTCGGTGCAATAAATGCCGTAAGTATTTTTCAAATTGTCGCAGGTATTTTCAAAATTGCCATAGGTATTTTTAAAATTGTCATAAATATTTCTAAAATTGCCATAAGTATTTTCAAAAATTACCATATAAGTATTTCTAAAATTTCCACAAGTATTTTTAAAATTGCCATAAGTATTTCTAAAATTGTCACAAGTATTTTCAAAATTGCCAGAAGTATTTTCAAAAATTGCCACAAGTATTTTTAAAATTGCCATAAGTATTTTCAAAAATTACCATATAAGTATTTTTAAAATTGCGTTAGTATTTTTGAAATTGCCAGAAGTATTTTCAAAAATTACCACATAAGTATTTCTAAAATTGCCAGAAGTATTTTCAAAAATTACCATATAAGTATTTTTAAAATTGCGTCAGTATCTTTAAAATTGCCACAAGTATTTTTAAAAGTTACCATAAGTATTTTTAAAGTTACCACAAATATTTTTAAAATTGCCACAAGTATTTTTCGAAATTACCATAAACATTTTTCCAAATCAAGGTTGGCAACACTGCCGAGCAATAACACATGTCACCCGTTCTCAGGCGAACGTCGTCGCGTTTCCCGAGATGAATGGACCGAACTGAATGAAAAGAGGCTACGCTGGAAACGCACAAAGATGCGATTTCACGGGGAGAAGCGATTCCGCCGAGCGTGAGAATTCGTTCTTTCCGGGGATTCCTTTCAGGCCGAGACGTCGCCGGAAAAAACAAGACCCGATTTTTCTTTGATCGTGGCCCGTCGTCGGTGGCCGTGGAACGACCGGGGCGCGTCCTGCTTTCAGATTTCGAGCGAGTTAAAAATCGTCTCGCAAAATATATTTAACTAATATATATAATAATATAAATAAATAATATATATATTTAACTAAGCTCTCGGTCCAAAGGGGACTAAACTTATCCCCGTAGCAGCCAGCGAACTTAAGATTTATTAAACAGGCTAATTACGCGCAGTTGACCGGTAATATTTGATTTGTACACACGGTGACTAATGGTAATTTAATATTAACTTTGAGAGGACGTTGGATCTCTTCCAGTAGAAACACCGTACGGTTAAAGTAATTATTTAATTTCATTATATGAATTATTCGAATGCATCGAGATTTTAATTCATTTAGATCGAAGCGCTGCAGCGACGCTCTCATGGTTTTAATAATTATTAATATTCGAATTGGGTCAGAGCTCGACTTTTGCTGTCTTGTACAAATAAGGGAATATCTCAACGTTTCTGATATATTTATGGAAGTTTTAAATACACTCTGTTTTAAATACAGAAATGAGAGATTGGAATATAGATTTGCTTAGAATGTATTGAACATAGCACTGGTAATCCAATATTTTCTTGTCGACGTATCCTGCAGATATTAAAGAAACATTAATAACGTCCAATTGCCTAGTTTTATTAATAAGCCTAATATAATTAGACAATTATGATGGGACGTAATATATGACGTGGAACATCGTTCCTCCGCATTTTAATAATAATCCGATATTGTTTTAAAATTAAAATAGTATTACAAAAAATTATCCTATATTCCACTCCTAAAATATTGCTCCAAGTTACGTTAAATATTCCATTAACACTTAGCCAACCGAACGAGGAGATCTTCCCATTTTACATTCAGTCGGTTAACGACCGAATGAATGATTAATGAAAAGTTTAAAATGATTGCTTAATTTTATTAAGCTTCGCAAGAGGTACGAATGCTGAAGAAGTAATCGATGCCATATAAGTTTGCTTCACAATGTTTGTTTAATCGAATGAAATATTTTAATTTCATGAAAATTTTCGAGGTTTCTAACAGGAGCGTTAAAAATAAAAAATAAATATTACGTTAAGTATGAAGTTAAATGAAATATGGTATGATAATCGAATCGACGCAACTTACTTTTCATGGATCTTCTTCTGTCGTTCTTTGTCCTTCTTTTTCCGCTTCGGCTTCAAGGCTGGATCGTACGAGTCCCCTTTCATTTGAAACTTCGCCCTCTGAACCGACAGCACTTTGCCCCTTATTTGTGAGTTGTCCAGTAGCTTCAAAGCTAAATCCACCGACTCGACCTGGACAAAAAGCAGCGGAGCCTATGAAAATTCAAGCGCCGGAGAGACCTATATCCCGGAGACATAATAACATTAACGTTGCTATCGAACAAGTGAACGGTGTTCTAAGTACGGATCAAGCAGAGATACGAGTCTCATGCATTTACGATGCGCTTGGCATACGCGAAATCCGACGTACATTTGCGATACTATCTTCGGGAGCACAGGATACTAATGATATTGTCATTTCGACCTCGATTTAACTACAAAATGACGCGAAATTACAATTTTATTCGATCCGCGAATCGTTCGTTAATGCGATCTGTACGTTCGACGTGCATCCGATATGATTGCATTAGGCTCGCCAAGATGTTGACGAACACGAACAGAATGCCTCCGATTCGTCGAAAATGCGTAATTTCTTTTTTTCTTTTTATTGGCGAGCATTATTATCATTCCCGTGTATTAACATTCTGACAAAGCGAAGCACTCGCGAGCCTACTTGGTCAGCCAGCAATTCATGCTCGGCCGTATAATTAACTTGTCCTCGCGGCGCGCTATAATAAACGGACGTTTATTTCTAGTAGACTAATTAAACATGTCAGAACGGAAGAGCGTGCAACGCAAGAACACTTTTCATTTCGCGCTCCCTTCGGGCATCGTATTTCACAATTTCGCGAACAATATCAAATTTCGCGAAATTCGTTCTCAAAAATTGGTATTTTCAGTGATCGCGGACTTGATGTTTCGGTAATGCATACTAATCAAATGGAAAGTATTTATTCTTTGCCAAGAATTGTTCATTATTATGCCGACAAATTACTGTGTGTGTATTTTTGCTGTAATATTTAATATCTACTGGAGATATTATATTCGAATTCTACGCAAACATTTCTAGATATAAATATACTAAATATATATAAATATACTAAATAAATATACTAATAAATATACTATAAAACCATTTATATTAGTTCACATTCCAATGGGAAAATAAAGTTTTACCACGCAACATGATGCTGTCAAAAAAAGTTTAATCTTTCTTCAGCTGAATTAAAACTGTTAAAATAACAAGTATATAAATATTATTGCGTTTCGCGCTATATTTTAATATTACAGATCAATGATCATACGCGATTCGTTAAAAATACATAAACACACTTATTTCAACTTTCTCCATTTTGTTTAATCCCCATCTACGTAGACCACACACCTGTACGGTGGAGCCATAGTTGCAAGAAATTCGATCAACGGTAGAAGCGATTAATGAAACATCGGTTAACGGGAAATTCAATTATCGGAAAAATGTAGTGCAACAAGCAGGAAGAGAAGTATTAATTTACATACACCGTTTCGCCCCGCCCATGCTTTTTCTCCCTATGAATCAGCATTCTTCGGCGTGGGCATACCAAGTCTTCGATTATTTTGTATTTTTACGGTAAAGACAACGAAGAAAATAACTAAAATAATTAAGAAAAATTCCGTAAAAAGCGAGATATCGAGGGAGATCGTTAAATAATCATTTAAAACTTGTCTCTATATGGTATTAATGTTACGAAACATAAATTAATCGAAGACAAACGATTTTCGTTCATGAGAAAACACAATTCTATTATTATTATTATTATTATTATTATTGTTGTTGTTATTATTCAATAATGCAACTATATAGTTCGATAGCAGCATCTACAATTATAGCATTATTAAAATTATATGCATTATCAATCTGACAGAGAAGTTCCAACAAGTTCCTGAATATTTTACTATGCAAAATTGATTTATTCGTTCTTTAAAAATCACTACTTTACAACCTGATGGAACACTATTTTACAATCGCGTTTCTCCGAAGGATTAATAACTGCACTCACGCCACGACATATGATAAATAAATATTTACGAGAATATTCGCATCGATCGATTGAGAATAATTGCATATACGAATAAAATACAGGTTTATTGTTCGAATATTTGCACGAATAATATTGGTGCGAAAGTCATTCCACATTTCGGTAAAGCACTTATTTTCGGAATATGCGCATCAAGTAAAATTGGGTCGAAGAACGTGTATAGAGAGATCATTATCAATGCGATGCTAGCACAATTGCGTTATTTGAGAGATTCAATTACCCGAACCGCGTGCATTATAATAAGCCGTGCACGTTATAATATCATAATTATATCTAGTAATATAATCACGACGGTGCCGTGTAACTAACCGGAAATCATAATCGCTTCTCTCTGCTCGTCAACATTCTTAAATAGGTTGATTCAATTGTTCCGGCGGCCTTCTAATCACGTCGCGTCTCGTTTCGTTTCGAGACTAACGATTAAACGTACAGGGTGGCCTAGAAGTCGCGAAGCAATTTCCCGTTGAGAGAGAGAGAGAAAGAGAGAGAGAGAGAGAGAGAGAAACCGCGAAAATTTCACGTCAACGTAACGATAAAAATCGCCGGAGATACGCATCCCGTAACTGTTCCAAGAACCTGAAAACCGACGTCGCGACCCTTTTCAATCCCAGCCACGAGCGACCGTTCGCGAACGAAAGCCGAAAGCTCGGCTGAAAATCGCGATTTTTGCAAATCCTTCGGAATCTCGAGTTTACGAAATGATGTACCGTTATTATCCGTTGCTAACAGAAACATCGCATTCGCATAATTGCCGGCAAATGGCTTCGGCGGAGTTACGAACGGCGCGTTAAAACGCCGCCGGACGCGACGCGCGCCGATGAAAAATACGCCGATAAATACGCACTAGAAATAGTTAACACCGTGTAATATCGTCGAACGGGCAGAACCGGTAGTTCTGTCAGATTTATTTTCAAGCTGCACGCCTGTCCGAGTCGCGTATGCCATGGCGGCGCAGCTTCGCGGCACTTTTAACCATGACTTCATGTCGTTCGCGGACGCAGAGTCTCGCGGAGACGTCCGTGTCGGATCATGGACGTGCATTTTCACTGGATGCATATTAGCCTGCCACCTACCGTTACGGGGTGTGCATGTACACTGCCGTCCAAAAGTATCGGGACACCTGCCGGCCTTGCTAAACGGGCCGATATTTCCGCTGCAGCTGCAGTGGTTGCATTATAAGACTCGCGGATTCATGAGTAAAGGGGAAAAAATCGATTTTTGATATAGTAGATAGATTGTAAATATTTTTATCTTCTTGTCTAATACAGGATTTGGCAAATTAATTTTCTTCTTCAATTTTAAAACGTCGAACGTGCAAAAGCATTTCTGTAGGTACAGTAAATTCTCCCAAATTGTCCCTCAGCTTGTACACGATAATTTGTCAACGACTATAAAATCGAGCCACAAAGGCATTACAAATTGCCCACTTTTGTGTACAAATTGAGAGACAATTGGAGAGAATTTTCTGTACATATATAAAAAAGTAGCAAATTTAATGGTATCAATTTTCTTCTTGTCAGAATTGTAAAATAGAAATCGATTTTATTATTCTTAAAATTGACGATATTAGTCGATGCGTTATAATGAAATTTGTAATAAAATATCCGGTAACAGATAGATACTTTTGTAGATAAAAGTTTTCTAGACAAAGAACCATAATCTTGCTGCGATTATGGCACATTGCTAGCGATTTCTGTTCTTTTTCTGACTGTATTTCTCTCAAATCCGTCGAGAGAGAGAAACAGGTCTAAATAATAAAAAGAGATCAACCTGTAATGATTATCTGTAACCATTTCCAGAACTGCTTATCAAATGACAGCTCAGGTAAAAACAAAACATGAACAAACGCGACTTGTCTGGATGAAAGCTGATCTCACAACTTGTACTCATTAATGTCTACAAACTAATCGAACATCTATGAGTAACGTTACGGCGAGTCGTGTTGCAATATTCAATATGCAGATTCTTTACGGCACGGGTAATATCATCTCGATAAGAGCTTTGGACAATCTCAGTGACTTTCCGGCAGTATTCCATGTTCACTTCACCTTTCGTAAGTGTCGTAATACAGTTGAGTGGCAACGTGTGCACACACACACGCAGAGAGAGACGCACTCACACGGTATGTATCTGTGTCTGTCGCGAATAAATCAGTCGAAGCTTTATCGCCTTCTCCGCGGACACGTTTCGAGATATCGAACTACCACCTGATGAGGTTCGTTCGTTCGTTCGTTCCTCTTCGATATCTCACGGCGATGCGCTGGAAGAAGTTTCGACGTGATCCTCAAGTTATTTCCTGACTGGCGATATATGAGACAGAGGAGTGATGCGCATAAGCTTCGATCAAAAAATCATGGTGCGGCATGGAGATTTGAAACATTAAAGAATTGCGAGTAATATATTGCATAGGCGGCCAACTGCAATTTGTCTCGGGTTGCGTCGATCAATGTTTCTCAAGATTTTCCAGTTTCGTTTGCGGTGCGTCAACGTGGCCAGGGCTGCGCAGAGTTACAATTTTATTGCAATTCAATTCAATTACGGTGTAATTCAATTGTATTGTAATTCAGTTACATTGTGATTCAAATATATTAGAATTCAATTATATTAGAATTCAGTTACATTTTAATTCAATTATATTAGAATTCAGTTACATTGTTATTCAAATATATTAGAATTCAGTTACATTGTGATTCAAATATATTAGAATTCAATTATATTAGAATTCAGTTACATTATAATTCAAATATATTATAATTCAATTATATATTAGAATTCAGTTACATTAGAATTCAAATACATTAGAATTCAATTATATTAGAATTCAATCACATTATAATTCAAATATATTAGAATTCAATTACATTATAATCCAATCATATTATAATTCAAATACATCATAATTCAGTTACATTATAATGTAATTCCATTATAATTCGATCACAGTATAATCAAATTACATTACATTAATTACGAATTACGATGCAACTGAATGAAAATTACGACGCAATCGAATTACAATTACGAATTAAAAAATAATAAATTAACAGATAATAATAGAAGAAAATACGCAAAAGAAACAAAAAAACTCTCTGGAGACTGTAATTCGAAGAACTG